GGAGAGCCCGGCAAGCTACCGAGATATCTCGCCCGCACGGCAGAGCCTGGCAAGCTCCTCGTGATGTATTCGATATGCCAAACACAGTAACAACAAAGTCTCCAATGGAGACGTTACTGGGCCCGCTAGAGCAAATCGACGAACAACGGAGGGCCTTTACTTACTTACTTAGGGCTAGGGTGGTAGAGCAGTGTGTTGCTCAAGTGAGGCCCTGGGTTCAAACCTCAACACCCCATGACACACACATACGTGCGCACGTGCGCGCGTACACACACACACACACACACGTAAAACAAATCTTGCTACAACTTGGATGGAACTGGAGGTGAAATAACAAATTTCATGTTAAGTCAAACAAGAGTTCTAGAGAAGAGGGGCTGGAGAGATAGCACAATGGGTAGGGCGTTTGCCTTGCACACGGCCGACCCGGGTTCAATTCCCAGCATCCCATATGGTCCCCTGAGCACCGCCAGGAGTAATTCCTGAGTGCAGAGCCAGGTGTGACCCAAAAGGCAAAAAAAAAAAAAAAAAAGAGTTCTAGAGAAGAACAAATGCTGGATTTCTTGCTCATTGGGGTAGATAAAAACAAAAACAAACAAACAAATAAAAGGAATGGAAAACAAACCAACCCTTGGGCTCTGACCACAACCCCAGATCAGCAGTGGGGAAGAGGGACTCTTGGGAGGACTGGGAGGAAATGGGGTGGACCAGGAATGACACAGGCAAGGGGGGGAGGGTCTCTGGACACTGCAGCACCCCTGTCCACTAAAAGCGTGGAAGGTCCCCACGGCAGGTGCTGTGGCTCTGTCCAATGCAGAGGCCCTGGAGAGACAGCATCCACAGACCACCTCGTGGAGAGAAGCCACTTACGCCACTCTTGAAGCCAAACTATACACTGGAAGATTTTCTAGAAGGTTCGCCTCACTGAACTACTCTGATGTGAGATGATCTCGGACCCATGGCCGAGGCATGCAGGGGGTCCTGACGCAGGCAGAAGGACAGAGGCAGCGCCTTCCACACAGAGCCGAGGTAGGAGATTTCAAACTGCGGAATTCCAGGACTGTGGGAGACGTCAAGAAAACCACTGGGCTGGGGCCTGAGCGATGGCACAGCACGGGAGGGGGCACTTGCCTTGCAGAAGGAAAACCCAGTTTGATCCCCGGCATCTCACATGGTTCCCCGAGCCCTCCAGGAGCGACTCCCAAGCACAGAGCCAGGAGTAAGTCCTGAGCACTGTGGGGTGAGACCCAAAGCCAAACAAATATACCAAAACCAACAAAACAAAACAAAACAAAAAAAGAAAACAAGCAAACCACAGATTTTTTTTTTGTTTCTTCCTTTTTGGGTAACACCCAGCGATGCTCAGGGGTTACTCCTGGCTCTGCACTCAGGAGTTACTCCTGGCAGTGTTGGGGGACCATATGGGATGCTGGGAATCGAACCCGGGTCGGCCGCGTGCAAGGCAAACGCCCTACCCGCTGTGCTATCACTCCGGCCTCGCAAACCACAGTTTTTAAAGGCAAAATAGAATGATCAAAATGGGGGTGGGCTGAGGTTGAGTTTGGGTCGGGGTAGCCTGAGCGTGCGCCTCTGAGAGGTGGGAATGGAGAAGAGTGACCGCGCCGGTCTCTGGTGGCGCCTGTCCCCGTGTGTGTGTTCTGAGCCGTGCCGGGTCTGTGGGAGCAGCAGAAATGGGCCACGGCCCTGGCGGGCGAGGAGACGGATGGCACAGAAACCTGGAACCGCCGCGGGGATCCAATCTTAGTAATGGCCTAACCTCCTTGAGCAGGAAGGATTGCTTTTAGCAGCTCCGTCCCCAGGGGCTGCCGCGGGCGGGAGTGAGAGAGATGTGAGAGTGGTTCCCAGAACAGGGCCAGGCTGTCCCGGCCCGAAACGCACACCTCCCCGGGGCGCGACGCCAACAGCCACGTGACCCGGGAAGGCGGTGGGGACCCACCCTGGCTGTCTTCGCCCCAGCTCCCCCACCCCCCCACCCCCCGCCACAGGTCTCTCTGCCCTTTGGAACATTCCTGCCTGTTGACAACTTCCCACATCAAACCCCTCAACTGTGAGCTCTCGCTCCAGCGCCAAGTCAGACTTCTGACCACGAAACACAGTTCTAGGGGCCCCCTGGTGGCTCCTGAGCCCCTTGCCCCCTGCCCACCAAGTTCCAATCTCCGGCTCGGCTATGTGGGCCTCTCCCTCCGAGGCCAAGATCGCGGCTGAGCCGGGGTCTCTCCTCATTTCACACTGGAACCCGCGGCCGTCTCTGCCCCCTGAGCTCTGGGGGCTGTGCAACGTAGTTTTTTTTTTTTTTTTTTGCTTTTTTGGGTCACACCCAGCGATGCTCAGGGGTTACTCCTGGCTCTGCACTCAGGAATCTCTCCTGGCGGTGCTCAGGGGACCAGATGGGATGCTGGGAATCGAACCTGGGTTGGCTGCGTGCAAGGCAAATGCCCTACCTGCTGTGCTATTGCCCTAGCCCCCTCTGCAACGTAGTTTAAAACTCCAGTCCAAGAGGCTCTGCAGGGGAGGTCTCCCTCTCCTGCCCCCACAAAGCCCCAGACACTGTATTTCTGCTCCACACAGGTTACCTGCATCTCTTACCGCGTCACTCCTGAGATGCCAGCTGTGCCCCCAGAGAAAGCACTGAGCTTCCCTGACCTTCCAGATGGACGTGCCGAGTCCCCTTGGGATTTTGAGGGGTTTTTGTTTGTTTGTTTGTTTGTTTTTTCATTTGAAGCATCTCGGTGACCTTCCCACTTCAGTCCCCAAAAGCTCCTGACTTTCCCCTTAAGGTCACGGGGCAGGACACTCAGTATCTGTTCTCTGCTTCAAGGATCCAACTGCCAGGTCACAGGCCATCAAGCCTCCTCTGTCACTAGCAGCGTGGTTAAGGCTGTCTTGCACGGGAGGGTCTCCGGGAAACCCCTCAGTACCTGCTGCTTCCCCTGAGACCCTCCCTCCCTGCAGACGCCCGCCACTCCCCCGCCCCGGCCCCCTCACTCACACCTAGCCACCACCTCGGGAGCACTTTCTCATGAGGATCCTCGGTGTTCTGCAGGGAAGGAGCGAGCACCACTGGAAATGAGAAGCCCCTCCCCACCAACCCACACAGGTCCTTGGGGGGTCACCCAGAAAGCAAGCTGCCCTCTGGGCTGTCTGACAGGAAATTAGTGACCGACATCGGGCCGACAGAAATCAAGCTCATAGGTTCAACAATGTCCTGCCCTCATCCATCTCCTGATGGGTCCCGGGACACCCCACTCAACGCGGCCAAGAATTCACTTTCTGGGGCCGGAGCCAGGGACAGCAGGCTGGGCATTTGTCTTGCGTGTGGCCAACTCAAAACCCTGGATGTTTCCCCAGGCCCCGCCCAGAGTGATTCCTGAGCACAGAGCCAGGAGTAAACCACGAGCACCGTGGGGTGAGGCTCCCCAAACCAAAACTGAAACCGAACAAACAGAAAGAACTCACTTTCCCAAAGCAGTGCTCAAGGTGGTACCTGCCTGTCTAGAGAATCGCTCAGAGCCCTGCCAAGTTCCCTGAGGTCAAGGACAACATCTTTTCCACCTGTCTCCCAGCTGGACCTTCCAGACTGCCCGTGACGTCACCCGCGCCAGAAGCCGGCGGGGCCGCGGCCATCTCCACCCCGCGGTTGCCCAGCCTCTGCTCGAGGGAACGTGAAGCAGGACTGTGCCACTCCTGTCTCAGCGTCCTTTCCTTACGTTCCTCTCTCAGTGGCTCCTGCCCCCCAAAGCCGCCACGGGACCCCCTTCAGCTCTGACGGCTACAGAATCTCAGCAACCAGCGGCCTTCCCCTCTCCCGCCTGGCAGAGCCCAGATGCCGCCCGCGGCTTTGCTGTCCCCTATGATGGCACGGCAGCAGCACTGAGTCAGCTGCTTCCTTGGGGCTCCCTGGACAGGCCATGAGATCTGCCCGAGGAGCCCGGTCAGGCCCACTCGGAGCCAGAGTCCCAGGGTCTGAGGGGTAGTGGGGAGTGGTGGGCGGTGGTGTTCAGGCGGGTGTGGCTCTCAGGCCCTAACGGTGACTCCAGGCCAGGACCCAAGCCTGGAACTGGCTTCCCGGAAGCCTCCTCAGTAACTGCTGCAGTGAACAGACGGTTTTGGCAGTTCCTTTGTTTCTGAGTCGGCTGTGCTGCTCTGCCCAGCCAGTCTTCGAGGAAACCCTTGTCTGCTAGGCAGCTTCTTCGTCCGTTCACTTACTCAGCCATCCGGCAACTCTTCCTGTGAACCCTCACCGAATCCCAGGGGTTCGGGAGAAAAACACAGTGGCCAGCGGTGAACTTCAGTCCCTTCATGTCTTAGTACACCACAGACCTGGAGTCTTGGGAATCTTGGCTGGGTGTCCCCTTCCGACACGGCATTCTGCCGGCACACAGAAGGCTACCCACGTTTCGTGATCAGGCCAACACGTTCCATTGCGCAGATCACCACGGTTAGGGCTGGCGCTGAGAGGATCCTCTCCCGGGAGCTGGAAGCTGTGAGCTGGATCATCTTAAGCCCCTCAAGATAGGAACTGCAGGCTGGAGTGATAGTACCATGGGTAGGGCATTTGCCTTGCATGCGGCCGACCTGGGTTCGATTCCCAGAATCCCAAATGGTCCCAGAATGGTTCCCAGAATCCCAAATGGTCCCCTGAGCACCGCCAGGAATAATTCCTGAGTGCAGAGCCAGGAGTAACCCCTGTGCATCGCTGAGTGTGACCCCTGCCCCAAAGAAAACCATAGGAATTTCAGCGGCTGGAGCACTAGGACAGCAAGTAGGGCATTGCCTTGCACGCGCGGCCGACTCAGGTTCAATCCCCAGAGGGGCCAGATGTTCAGTGAATCTCGCCAGACCTACACAGCTCCCCAGCGAACATCCATTCCCCTCGCCCTTCCCCAAGGGGGAAACGTCACTTGGCCGCCGAGCACGGAGGCTTTCCGAGTCAGAGCAAAGCGGGAGTCCAAAGGATGAAGCTTCATTTACTTACTTACAGGTTGACCTGGGACTCTACTTCCGGGTACTTCGCGGGCCACGTCTGCAGGGGCGGGATGCCGAAGGACAGAGAAGACTTGGCCTTCCAGAGGAGCGTCTGTGCCATCTGACTCCCGCAGGCCGTCTTCGTCAGCGGGTCCATGAGTGGGCCTGGAGGCTGCGGCGCGGGACCGAAGCAGGAGGAGTTGGGAAAGGCACTGGGAAGAGAGAAGGGCAGCCTGTCACTGCGGGGCAGAGCTGAGGCCTGGGGACCCGTTCCCAACTACGAGCCCCCCTCAGGGCACAGACTGAGCCTGCGCACACAAGGGCTGAGGCCGGCCTTGCCGCAGCCCCAGGACCCTCAGAGGCCAATCACGGACCCCAGCCAGGGGAGCTGTCAACCCGGCAGGGAGGTCAGGGGGACCCAAGGGGGGAACGCGGTCTTGTTTCATCTCCAATTTCCAACAGAAATCCCAAGCAAAGGCCCGGCAATACAAGGACGCGGCAGAATGCACCCACATGTGACAGCAACGGTCTGGGGGCCGCTGGCCACAGGCGCTTTGTGAGCTGATCAAGGATTATTTGGGATCACGCCTGAGACCCCAGAGCTCCTCCTGCCGAGGGTGCAGGGCAGAAAGTGGGGGCAGCTCTGAGGTCGCCGGGGACACGGCCAGGATGGGAAGCACCCTTGATTCTCGAGGGTGAAATGAGGGCCGGCACACGCCACACACTCGGGCCGAGCAACACCCATGAGTGAATTTATGAATTTATTCTGAACGCGGCTGCCAATACTTCGAACCACACCCCATGCCCATACTCCAAGATGAACGCACCACATCTGATAGGGTTCAAAGCCGGAAGCAATCAATCTTAGAGGAAAACAGACATTTTTTTTTTTACAGACATATGCAGCACAGCGGCTGACCCAGGTTCGATGCCTCCGGCCCTCTCAGAGAGCCTGGCAAGCTATCGAGAATATCTCACCCACACGGCAGAGCCTGGCAAGCTCCCCTGGTGTATTCGATATGACATAAACAGTAACAAGTCTCACAATGGAGACGTTACTGGTGCCCGCTGGAGCAATTTGATGAACAACGGACGACAGTGCCACTACAATGTTATATAATATATATATATATATGTATATATATATATCACACAAGGCTCAACCTTTATCTTTTTTTTGGGGGGGTCACACCCAGCAATGCTCAGAAACTACTCCTGGCTCTGCACTCAGGAATTACTCTCAGTAGTGCTTGGGGGACCATATGGGATGCCGGGGATTGAACCTGGGTCGGCCGCATGCAAGGCAAACACCCTACCCACTGTACTATCACTCCAGCCCCAAGGCTCAACCTTTAACAACATGTTAGTGATCTCTTATAGAAGGGCTTAATGGCCCCTGGGTGAAATACACCCATCTCCACACTCTTTCCTCTAAGGATACTACTTTGTAGCACTATCAGTGGTTTTTCATAACAAACAACACAAAATATATTATTTTGGTTCTGCTTTGGGGCAGGGATTGGGGTTTGGGATGGAAACATCCTAAATATGGTGGTGGGAAGGTGTCATGGTGGTGGAACTGGCGTTTGGATATTAAATGTAATCAAATATTGTGAGCTACTTCATAGCATAAAATTTTTTTTTAAGAGAAAAAGAAAAGAGGAGGGGCTGGAGCCATAGCACAGCGGGGAGGGCGTTTGCCCTGCACGCAGCCAACATGGCCGACCCAGGTTCGATTCCCAGCATCCCATATGGTCCCTCGAGCACCACCAAGAGTAATTCCTGAGTGCATGAGCCAGGAGTAACCCCTGAGCGTCACCGGGTGTGACCCAAAAAGAAAAAAAAAAAGAAAAAGAAAAGGGGACGGGGGTGGGAGGGATACTGGAATCCGTCACAGTCACAGTCACAGTCCTCCCGTTGTCCATCAGTTTGCTCGAGCGGGCCCAGTAACATCTCCATCTCGCCCGCATGGCAGAGCCTGGCAAGCTACCCGTGACGTATTCGATATGCCAAACACAGTAACAGTAACTGGGATCCGTGGTGGTGGGAAATGGGCACTGGTGGAGGGATGGGTATTTGATTATTGTATGATTGAAATCCAAGCACAAAGATCTGTAAGTCTACAACTGTACCTCATGGTGTTTCACTAATAAAAATTAAAAGAAAAAAAAAGAAAGAAAATGGGGGCCGGGGTGTGGCCCCAGTGGTAGCGCACAGGCCTGGCCCGCTGAGGCCCTGGCTCTGGTGGCCTCCAAGACGGCAGGGATGCTAAAAGCACAGCCGTCATCCTTCAACTCGAGCTCGAGAAATGGGCCGACAAGCCAACAGAGCCCAACTCTTCGGCAGTGGGAAAGAAGCAGGAGCGATCTTGGCTAAGCCTCTGGCCACGGGGGCCTCTGAAGGGCTTCTTGGGGGCTGCAGCAGGCCAAGGACATGAGCCTGGCGGGCGAGAGAGACACACCTGGTGGGGGACGGCCACCCCGCTGCTGGGCTGGACGCCAAGGGCAGTGGCTCGGTGCGGCCGGGCTGTGCGGCGCCAGATGGGCACCACCCACTCCCAAGCTGCCAGGTCAGGCCGGAGCCGCGCGCAGGCTGAAGTGCCCGTTAAGCCCAAGGCTGCGGGCAGGTATTGAGAGAAAAGGAAAAAGGTCGGGCTGGAGTGATAGCATAGCGGGTAGGGCGTTTGCCTTGCACGCGGCCGACCTGGGTTCGATTCCCAGCATCCCATATGGTCCCCTGAGCACCTCCTGGAGTAATTCCTGAGTGCATGAGCCAGGAGTAGCCCCTGTGCATCGCCGGGTGTGACCCAAAAAGCAAAAAAAAAAAAAAAAAAAGGAAAAAGGTCAGTGGAGTGACCCACCTCGAGGGTGTGGAAGGAGCCCAGGGCCACTCCACCTCCCCACTTTGCCAGGCCTTGTGGCGAAGCCACCGGCTGCCAGTCACTCCCCCGTACCCAAGCCCGGGCAGGAAGCCAAGGCCCAATGCTCTCCACTGCCCCTTCCTCAGCTGAAACCCTGGTCTCAGGGGCCCCTGGGGGCACTCGGCCTTCTGGCTGCCTCGGCCCTAAACAGGCCAATAAAGAGCAAGCAACGCTTCTGCGTGAGTGACAGACGCTCTTGGGAACCCTTCGGCTCTTTTCTCTTTTTTTTCTGCTTCGAAAGTGGCACTTCCATGTGAAAGACGAAGGATGAGAGGGAAAAAAAGGAAGCCAGTGTGAACAGGAAAGGCCCAAGCAGGCTTCAGCAGCAGGTGGCACCCGCAGGAATAACGCAGGACTGTGGCCATGCCAACGGCCACAGGCGCTGCCCCAGGTGCCGATATGTAAGCCACATGGGCTGCACCCGCACATGCCACCCTCGGGGTCCCCAGACTTAGTCTGGGGTTACGTCTCCTGGGAGAGACTTCCACTGCTGCAGATCAGCGTAGAATCCTTTTCCTGGGACCATAAAAAAAAAGTCAAAAAAGCCCTCGTGACTGCCTTTAGATTTTGGTGCCTGCAGGGGACTGTGGGGCTGAGGGGACTGCGCTGCCAGGGGGGTCCTGGGGTGCTGGGGACCCCTGGGACCATGCCTGTGGCTCTGTACATTTGAACAATGCTGCTCCAATTGGGGCCTTCACGCTGCCTCTCCCCCCCGCCCCCCACCGCCCAAAGAGCAAGGAACAGAGGGTCCCAGAGGATGCTGACTCCGGGTATCCAGAATTCTCGCACCTGTGGACAGAACACCTGCAGACGTGGCCCTGGGGCACATACACGGAGAGTGGGGGGAGGAGCCCAGAGTGGGGGGCTCTGGGGGCAGCCGGCGGCCTCCCACTCGGGGGTCTCTCCCCGGAACAGAGCTGCTGCAACCGCCAGCCTCCTCCTGGGTCCCCACAGGAGACCTTCTGCACCCTATTGTCACACGGGCGGTGTGGCTGCCTCCCAGCTGCCCGGAAGACAGACGTGCTGGCCAAGTGGGACCCGAAAACCTCCCTGCAATCAGCAACTCTGAGCCAGCGGGGACACACGCGCGTGACTCTGATTGCGGAGTGCAGTCAGGGCTCGACTTCATCATGCGTTATTGCTCTCTCACTGTGCATGACTACAGTCTGGCTTTATTAAGATTTAATTCTCCTCTCCTCTCCCTTGCTAAACGGTATGCTGTGAATTTATCTATCCCAGGTACATTTTAAAAATGTATTAGCATAGAATTATTCATACTGTTAGTTTTTTTTAATGTATATGCTGTAAAAAAAGACATTTTGGGGGGAACTTTTGTAAACAGCTTATCACTGATTTAGAATTTTGTGGAATTTCAAGGGGGTGAGCGTATTCATCTGTATCAATGCTGCTGTCACCACGACCACCAAACAAAAAAGAGCTCCTGCATATGTGGGCTATTTAAACAACAACAACAACAAAACAAACAGTAAGGAAACCACAAATGACCAAAGGCATGAGAACTCGGGAATCTGTCAAGAGAACTGAGATTCCCTGGGCGGGTCCTTGGGACACTGGTGGAGGGAGCCGGGCTCTCCGGAAGTGGGCATGGTGTTGGGACAAGGCACTCATGAAAGCATCATTAGTAGTTTTGCAGATCATGATCTCGATGAAAATGAAAAAGAAAAAAACATCAAGTTTCCTCCTGCATATGCCTGTCCAGGAAAAACATGAAGGACCTGTTACTATCCATGGTCTCAGGCACCCACTGAGAGTCTTAGGACACATGCCCCACAAATCAGGAGGGCTTAGAGCCTGGGGTGACCGCTGTCTGAAAGATAATGTTACCTGGCTGCTTTTCTACCAAAGTTGTAGTCCTGGATATCTTGACGCATGCGCAAATACAGGTGGTCACCCTTACTAGAGAACATTGAAAGCAGATCGTGTTAGGCGGGGCTGGAGCCACACTACAGTGGGGAGGGCACTTGCCATGCTCACAGCAGACTTGGGTTTAATGCCTGGCATCCCATAGGGTCCTCTGAGCACCACCAAGAGTAACTCCTGAGTGCAGAGACAGGAAGAGCCCCAAGCACTGCCAGGTGAGACCCCAAAACAAAACAAAACAAAACAAGTAGATTGTCTTCGAGGTTACTTACATGCTGTATTTTAATAGTACAATTTTAATTCAATTTAATAGTACGATCATTTTCCTAAACATGTTATTTTTTCTAATTTTTGTTTAAAAGATTGCACATGCCAATTCTACTCAACCTTTTCCAGAATTTAATTGCATTC